GGAGTCCGCCGCCAACGTCGCCTCGAGTGCCTCCAAGCTAGGATGAACCTCCATGCAACCTTCAATGACTTTATTGATATGAATGGTATTTACTATATGTATGCGTTGACTGTCTCGATGCAGGTCGTCATGCTGGAGCCGCAGCGCTTGACTGCAGCTCGTTCCACTCGGCGATTGCCTTGTCGTGGGCGGTGACGCCGGAGCTGCGGGACGTTCTCGAATCGATGCTTGTTGGCCTCGTGGAACTTGTGGAGTGGGCACTCCTCGAAGCCCTTTTGGCGAAGGCTGCGATTGGGGCACACGCACACGGGACACGGTCGATCCTTGCGCTTCGCCTTGGGCCGCGCGTTGTCAGCGCCGCCGTCCGTAAGCTCGCCTACAAGTCGCATACGCGGCGCGTGAGGCGGTGCGACTTCGTTCGCGACAGCTTCGTAGCTGCCGATCGGCTGCTAGCACTGGTCCTAAAGTTATCAAGCGCCGCTGCCATTCGTCGACTAGAGCTTGGACTCGATGGCTTCCTCGCTGTCATCCCTATGTGAGAATTTTGGGCATTAAGGATCGTGGTACGGCGATGACATTTAGATCGTACAGTGTGGGGTAATGTCGTCGGTGACTGCCATCAGAGCTTGGCGGGAGGCGGTGGGGACCGGGTCGTGACAACGTGGTAGCGTGCTCCGTCCAGTATGCATGCGCTTCCTAGGCATCGCCCATGACTCGTTGGTCCAATGCAAGTCGTTAGATTGATCGCGCCTACCTGGCGGCCATTCGTTGGGAACAACGGGCCCCGTGCTTCCGCTTCTTCCGGCAGAGACCGCAGGTGTTCTTGCTTGTGGACATGACGCGCCTCGAGAGCGGCCTTCAGCACACCTGAAGAAGCCTCGTCGGCCGTCGACGAGCTCAGCGAGAGTGCCGTCATCAAGAAGCGCGAGCTTGGCGCCGCGCAAGTGTCAGCTGACGTGGTCGTGGACCAGATCAAGCGCGCGTTGGCGACGGTGAGCCGCGAGCCTGTGCTTCTCGATCGACCGGCGGCCGCAGCTTGCATGTTGCCGATTGAGTCGCAAGCGTTCTACAAACGAGCAAGCGTTCTACAAACGAGTAATCGCAGCTCAGCACTCGCAGAGCAATCGCGGCGATGCATTTTGGCCAATAAGATTGCACGAATCTCCATAAAGCACGGGATTTTAGCCAATTAAAATGAAGTAGACTTCGCGCAATGGCGCATTAAAATATCTTGAATAATGTATACAATGTCGCATGCCGTGGAAGTGGACCTGCGCGGGCCGCCGGACGAAAAGCCGGTCGCGTAATAAAATGAATTCCCACATTCTTCTCCCTCTTTTTTTGCATGCGCTGCGCGAAGTATTTTTACTCGCCCCATGTTGTTCGCACAAAGCCAGTAAATTCAACACTCCCGCACTACTGGCGAATTGCCGTTGTGAGAACGTTTGGTCGTAAACTTCACTCTATTTGTTCAATTCGAAATAGTGTCAAATCGGGTTCATTCCGAAATCTGGCAAGTCAATACCA